CACCAACCCCAGAATAACTTAAAATTTGGAAGACTCGTTATAAATTCAAATGGGTTGAGGGACCAAGTTAAATATATAAAAAATATTAGGAGACAAATAGTGAAAAAAGGCCCTTGAATTAAATGGCTCGCTTGTTTGCAAAAATTGCAACTGACATACAATATTTTCTAGGACAAGCATTGAAGATTTAATCGTCAGCACATTTTCTGAATTTTTACATTTTAAAGTTAATATGCATTGTGATCTGAATTTTTTTTCGAATTGTATTCCTCTGACTTGAGCATCGGAAAAGTTTTGGCTAGGATCCAAATTTGGTATATGTGACACATTTAATTGGTTGTGACTTACAACCAAGAGACAAGCTAAGTGGACTCCTCTAACGTATATTCTTTATGTGAGAAAGTATCCAGTGAACTCGATTCATTGCATTAAATGTGCACCAAAGGAACATGCGTCCATGGATCACCGGCTTTGTGATTCGTGCACCGATCCAAAAGTTAATATCTTGTAAGGCACATTTAATATTATCAGTCAGGTCCATAGAATAATTTCTCCCCCCTATTGCCACTTGTTCCCTAACAATCAATAGATCATAAATGCGTGATAATCGTGTATTAATGGATTACTACCAAAATATGCTCCAAGCGCACCCGAACAGATATTTATCTCAACTAGGCTTCGGCAACCACAATCAATTTTTTGACCCTACAGAATCAATAGGAGAGCGATGTCCCTTAACAAACATAGCAAACATTTAGCTTGGCGGTTGCCAAAGCTAGAAATGGGCATTCATCAACTGGGAGGTCAATCATCCCACTGGCACCCTGCAGTAATGGCACTCTGTAATTGAGAAAGATGAATGAAAGACAAGCTTCCATAAAGTTTTAGCTTATAGTGTTATCATTTATATAGAACCTTATGTTTATAATAAAGATGTCATCTATGCCAATTTTTTCTTTGCTATTTAGATATTTTCATTAGATCAGAGTAGTACGCCTTGCTACCAAAATAGTGAAATACTGCACTATCAGACTTACAGGATAAGGTACAGAATAGTTTTCAAAAAATTATAATAATAGGAAACAATAGCCTAATTTCTCTATTCCATTTAACTCTTCCAAAACAAGTGTTATAGCCATTTTGGTGATTAGAAATAATCTTCAATCAATGGCAAACAAGTGTCTCATATTATGCATAATCAAGTCAGCATTTCAAGATAATCAGATGCCCAATTCGGTCTACTCGACAAGCTGACATTTTGCGACGACGACTCAAAAGGCGTCACATATCAACGACCTTAAAGGCGTTGCGTGTTGACCCCTGGCTAAGTCGACTACTTAATCATTCCACTTGGCCGACTCATAGGCCGACACCTTGCGAGGACGACTCGAAAGGCGGTACTTCTCGACCACCAGACAAGTAGAAAGGCGACGAAATGCCTCAAGCCTCAAGCCCCCTCTCGTGCGCTGGCGAGCAATCACCTCACAATAAATGCCATTAAATGCATTATGAGCGTCATCATTCTTCTGTCCCCAAGAGTCTTTATGACATATTGGACCACGTCGGCACCGTACACCCCGAATCACTTCGCATTAAATACAGAAGTGACATCTTCTCCACTCGTCGGCCGACACCTGTAAAGCTGAGGCTGACGTGGCTGTCATCCCATATTCGGCCGAAGTTATCATTCTACCCTTCTACCACTACTATAAATAGAGATACTATTTTCAATAACAGAATAAGTTATTTACTACTACTCAATGTGTTGAAGAACTATTATAGTTTATTTTTACTTCTCCACTCATGCAACTCACTGACTTGATCATCGGAGGAGCAACCGAGGAACCCAACTCTGCCCTTTTACGATTTGCTACTTGTGTAGGG